CAATAAAATATCTTGTGTGTAGGTTTGATCACTCGCCCTGTGACCCAACGATCAACCTCAAAGGATGTCCTTCCGAGCTCATCGCCTGTGCTACCTGCGGTCAAAATTTTCAAACTAAAGAAGCATGGAGAAGACATCTTGAGTCTAAGGTTTATGCACTTTTATGACTGTGCCATTTATTATTATTCTTTTGAGAAGAAACAGTTTATGAATAACGTTGTTTTGATTACTAGCTGTCATCATCTACTGCTGGTGGTCACAGCATCACGCAGAGCTATCAGCGGATCGTGTGTTTTGCCTGTCCTGCCTGCTACTTCCTCTTCAACCTCCGAGATGAGTGTCTTAAGCACATGTCAGCCAAAAACCACTTCACAGAGTCACTGGCCATGAATGGTAAGTTTTATTGAACATATTTCTATACATCTTGATTGAAATCTCACCTATCCAAATCTCCAAAATGAATGGGCACAGGTGATTGAAAACATAGTTATTAAACAGTAACATTTAACAATTTTGTATTTCATGTGTGCTATTGCCATTGTGGGTTTTCCTAACTGATAAATGCATGTTCTTACTATAGCTTTAACTTTTTGCATAAATGTGATTGTGTCCCCAAAGGAATTGCATAAGTTTCCAGTGCACACTAGATGAGGGAAATATTCGAAAATATTTGGTTGTCATATTAAGTTTATTTTACACAAGATTGTATTAAAGAAAGTGCTCAGGAGGTATTATTTGAGAAACACTGTGTGTACCACTTTTCTTTTGTTAAAGAAACCAGAGGAAGAGCACTGCCAGTTCCCATCCCACAATATGTGAAGAATCGTCTCATCGCCCTGTGCAAGGATGTGACGTTCAATGTCCGATGCTCTTTATGTCACAAAGTGCTGATCTCACATCAGGCAGCTCAAGCTCACTTTAAGTAAGTTTTATAGTGATTTATTCAGTACATATATTAATATATTTTGATACTATATGTTTATATTGCCAACACTGATTTTGTTCAGATGTTTTGTGGAACTGATTTCTTCGCTCTCTTTGTTCCTTATTTTTCTTTTTTTTTAAGTGTGCACTGCAGACATGGCTGTGCAGTGGCCAAAGCTGATAAAACAGTAGTGCAGGTAATGAAAGAGCTGCAAGTGCAAGGTCAGTGCTCCCTCTGCTGCAAAATCTTCCTCAGCCAAGCTGAAATTGAGAGACACAAAGAATGCACCCAGCATGATGTGGAGGTCAACCAAACAATGGAGAAAGCAGTCCTCCAGTACTGCAGGTTTAGTGAAATTCAACACACCCAGAGGGCTATAGAGGCACCGGGCAGGAGACGGTCTGAAATGTCTTTTCAACAAAGAAACAAGAAGAGGAGCAGCTGTGAAGAATTTCCAGCCAAACGGCAGAGACTAAGCTTGAGCGTGAATGGTAGCACTAGCAGAAATGTAGCAACAGCATGGTGCTGCGAGTGTGGCGTGCAGTTCTCAGAGGAGGCTGCAGCCAGGAATCATCTATTGGCTGTGAACCAGGTTTTCCATCAGTGTGGCGTGTGTGGCAAACTCATGGGAGAGTCCTCAATAACCCGCCTGCATATGAGTCGCTTTCACGGGGGAGCTCATCTCTCCAACTTCCTCTTCTTCTGCCGCAAGTGCAACGTGGAAATGCCTCGGTACGAAGACATCCTGTCACACGTATCCGAAGCTCACAGCGGACACACCTACTACACTGAACAAGAAGTGCCCGAGGAGCTTGCCATGGTCATCGATGACAAGCCGTCCACCAGCAAAGAAGGCACCCGACGTTCATCCTCCACGAAGTCCGCACTCCAGCAGGACATAGTAGAGATGTCTACTTCAAAAGCAGAGGAGACTTGGATGTGCAGGATGTGCGAGGACACCTTTGACTCAGAGGCAGACGTCCACAAACACTGCAGTGACGTGAGCAGTCACAGCTATCAGAGGTTCATCTGCGGACACTGCCCTCAGAAGTTCTTTAAAGAGTCCACGGTGCGTAGACATTGCATGAACGAGCATGACGGGCAGATAAAGAGCTCCCACTTCTGCGGACTCTGCGACAGCATGCAGTTTGAATCCGAGGGCGAGTTCTTGGAGCACTATAAGAGTCTTCACAGTAAGGACTACTACTGCATGGATGATGTTGAAGTTGTTCAGCCTGCTGTTGCTGCAGGGACCAGTCAGCCTTCGTGCCTGTGCATGGGTTCAGAGAAGAGCAAAGAGGACATGAAAGCTACATACACGCAATGCATGAGGGATCTGGCCACGGAAGGGAAATGTCAGTATGTGTGTGCTCCTTGTGGCATATCTCTGCCTTCCTACGCACATATGAAGACTCACGTCCACACAAAGCACGCCGCTTTGAACCTGGACAAGACCTTCGACGTAGAATGCAACGCATGCCAGGAGAGGTTTACAGATGTGCCAAGTTTCCATAAACACCATCATTCCCAACACTGCACGCTGGAGCCTTGCAGGAGCTCCAGGACCTGCGGTAAAGACATGAAATCAGAGCCCACTGCTGTCAAGATAGTCAATGCTGTGGAGATCAAACCAGAAGACGCCAATGGTAAATCAGTTAAACCTTTTGACATTTATTATCTACGTTTGTGTGCCGCTTTTACTTCTGTTTGTATGTTGTCATTTCAGAGATTGAAGATGAAACACTGGTGTTTTTCAACATGGATCAGGCAAATGAAGAGAGTGAAGCACCTGAAAGTAGGCAACAAACATATATACAGGCAATACATAACCACTGTGTAACTTATGCCACATAGGAAATGGGTAGGCAAGCAAATGCAGTGTACATACAGTATCTCGCAAAAGTGAGTACACCCCTCACATTTGTGTAAATAAGTAGTGAGTGTACAGCTTGTGTAACAGTGTAAATTTGCTCCCCCCCAACACATCACACAACCATTAATGTCTAAACCACTGACAACAAAAGTGAGTACACCCCTAACATGAAAAGATATAATCAAATATTTACAAAATGTGAGGGGTGTACTCACTTTTGTGGGACACTGTATATACATATAGTCTATATTACATCAGATTTAAGTGCTTGTGTTTTGACCATCTTTTTTTTTTTCAAAGCTACCATGTCATTTCATTGAAGAGGAATCAACTATCGATAAAGTTAAGACTAGGCATACCGTATTACATCTGCAAGTTGAAAGTTATGAAATCCCTTACATATATACAGGATATACATGGATATGTAAGTGTTTGTGTGTCTTTAACTATCTTAATACTGACTTTAATATATCAGCTGCTCATTTAGAGTGTGTGTGTGTGTGTGTTACAGACGATTCAGAGGAGGAGATGAACCATTCACCTTCTTTCAGTGCAGAAGAAGCAAGAGAGTCTGCAGGTTTGTGTTTATACCATAGACTGTATGGTTTATACGGCTGAGCAGGTAGTTTTTTTGTGTTTTCGCTTCATAGTACGGTAATTGTGGCGATCACAAATTTAGTTCCTGTAGCCACAAATCCTTTGCTACATTCTTCTCGGTTTTGCTGAGTTTACTGCATGTCCCTTTGTGTACTTTTTCTGACAGTGAAATATTACACAGTGATTCACTTTTACTGCAGAGAATTTGAGCCTGATAAACATTCCTCGTATGTTGACCTTGATGGGGAAGGTAGGATGTAGTTTACATAGGGACTGTTTGATACAGAGACAATTATATTCAAATAAATAAAGATAAAATTGAGTGTTTATAAAGGTTGCCCTGCAGGTTACAAAATAAAAAGAAGATAGGTCAGGTTACAGTTGTCTGAGATGTGCTAGACAATGTATATATGAATCTGGGAGCTATATGGGGATATAATTTCAACAATTAAAGATGTTTTTGTAATTGATGATGTTAATAAAATGCTTTATTTGGACATGCTGTTACTTTGATCCTTATATCCTGCTTTACTTTTCTTTTACAGAGTTGGAGGAAGCTCTTAAAAGAAGTCTTCTGGAGTTTTAAGGATGTGAAAAGATTCTTGTTTTGTTTTCTTTTAACACAGTGTCCTTCAGACATTGTATTGAGATGTTTTGTACCAGGTATTTGTGTTTAGAATATAATAAATAAATGTTAGTTTAAAATTTACTTTGTTGTGTGTATTTAATTATTTTATAACTCTATCAATATATAATAATCAATAAAGGCCATTTCCCTCACAGATCATACTGTAGTTTGCAAATCCCATGTTTGGGCCGTTTGCTTTGTGGCTGTAGATTTATGCACAGTCCTCTGTTGTGGAGACTTGACACTTTGGTGTGTCGACATGTGTGCTATAGATGGCATCGGTGACGCTGCAAAATGCCGTAGCTGAACTTGTGACCGCAGTGGTAACTGCATCTCCAGTTGCCGTCTCCAGTTTCATTGCAGACTTGTATGTAGTCCTTCCAGATCTGCTGTCATATAGCATAAACCCCTCATTTAGATGTAAAGGCATTAATTTATAAAACCTTCAGCTAGTTGTGTAGAACATGGCTGATGAATGTGGGTCATTTATTTAATGTATATATAATATATGCAATCTTTTATTCTAGTAATTGATAGAAATTAATATGACTAAAATGGTTCAATAGTAGGTTAAACTGCTAAGAACAAAATATATCATTCTAGGCCGACTAAACTTTGACCTTTTTATCTTATCTTCCAGGTACCATAATAACCATTTAAAATGAAAACCTACTCTTAATCTAGGGTTCCCAAAATTGAAATACTCCAATAGACTAATTTTATAAAAGATTTGGCTGATTAACAACACATACAGCTCAAGGAAATCAAAAATCCATATCGCAGAACAGGCTATTATAGTCTATAAATTAATTAACTTTTCCATGATGTTCAAATTTTCTGAGATTCCCCTTGTTTTTCTGGGGACCCCTCGGAGTTTGTCAGGGACCCTTCAGGGGGTCCGCGGACCTGACGTTGGGAACCACTGTTCTGGGCTTCTCGGGAAACTTCTCCGAGGACTGAGTGAAGGAAGTAGCAGCCCATGTTAGGCAATGTTCTCCCAGGGGCGCTGCTGCTGTCAGCTGGACAGCTTGGAGTGTTGATCGCACACGGGAAGAGTTTCTCTCCGGGACGGATCATCATCATCGTAACAATAATCATTCGCCCTCATGGCTCAAGCAAAAATACACGCGAAAATGAACGAAGCTTCCTGCGCGAAGTTCAGCAGGACACTGTCCATGGCAGATCGCTCCGGACGACTCCTGGAAAGTTTGGATCAGCTGGAAATGAGGTACAGGCCTTAGCATGTGCAATTGAAGCATTAGTAGGCTAGGTATATTGTATGGCTTCTCGCATATTTTGCAGTAAATGCAATATATAACGCATTCCTAAGTAGACGAGAGAGAAAGGGGTTGTTGCACTGATTAAAACTGCAGCAAGCCTATTAAAGTTTTATGAAAATACAATAAGAGGGTGTAGGTGGGAATCTTAACCTGTTGTAGGATAATTACAATATTCATCCAGTAACGTGGATTAGATTCTGATACTCGGGTGGTTGAGTTATCATTGTTATCCCGTTACAACAGCCCGTTATTTCTTATTTATTTTTACAGTGAAAGGATGTGGTTGTAAATGGATGGCTGTGGTCATGTGTTGTCTCTTTGTCTGTCAGGGTGGAGGCTTTACGCGAAGCAGCATCGGCCTTGGAGCAGGAAAGGGAGTGCCTCCTGGAAATGATTCAGTCCATCCAGAACGGACAAGAAATGCGTAACATCTGTCCTGGTGAGGCTGCGGACTCCCACAACTTCACTGTAGAGGCTGATACGCCTTGTCTGACTAAATAGTACTCAGTGGTGTTTTCAGTGAAAGTGTCTTTGTAGCTGCTCTGATTTCACTGTAACATTGTGATCCAGTGAGGTTATGCTTTGAATGCTATGTTGCTGGGCGGTGTTGTTCAAGAACCTCAGGGGATTTAAAAAAGGAACAAGGCAACAGGATTATTTGTGCCCTGCCAAGTTCATATCATTAACATATAGGCCTACTTGATATTATAGGATATACTGAAAGGGTTATTAGGTCTACATTCAAATAGGCCTACCAACTATATGGATCCCAATTTCATCATTTCCCAAATGAAGTAGCCTATGTCCACCTTACATCAATACACTAGTCACCATGGTCTAACCATACAGGGGGTTGGACATTACATAAATAATCTAATGCAATCCAGTGCAGTGACCCAAATACCACCATTGTGCACCATATAGTGTATTATGTTAAAATGGCAAATAATACAATATGTGGAAACAATATATAATATAATGTAATCTAATTACTTCATAATATTCACAAATGTAGAGCATTAGCAGGGCCGCCCTGTTGGATTACGTTTCATCAAATTTTGGGCTGGATATTTTATGTGTATTAAAATAATCCCATTCACCTGAGCTGTGTCTGTGTGGTGTGAGTGGACTGGAGCACAAACATGGAAACTCCACACTGTGAGGATGAGGGTAAGGATTTGAAACCAGAGTCTCCATGCCTTGAGGAAACACTGAGCCAATGTACAGTAGATTGCTTAGGTGTTTTATTATTTTGTCCACCAGTGTGTTTTGTTCTTTAATGATGCAGCAATGAGTTCTTTCTTGTTTTATATTTTATAGGGGAGAGAGAAGAGTTAGAGTTAACTGCAAACCGTATAATGGGCCGTACGCTGTCTGTGGAGATCTCTGTTGGCACAATCAGAAACCCCCAGCAGGAGGATGCGCTACGCAAGGCCACGACTATCATTGATGAAATAGTGAAGAAGTTACTGGATGACGTGGATGCCAGCCGGCAGCGGCTGCTGGCCCTGCATGCAGCCTGTGTGACCGAGGCACCGCCCGTCCCCATCGACCAGAAGTTTCAGGCAATAGTGATCAGCTGTGCTCTGGAGGACCAGAAGAAGATCAAACAGAGGCTGGAGACTTTGATGAGGAACGTTGAAAATGCTAAGAAGAACATCAAGATTATGGATCACCAAAAACTGGAGGACCCAAAAGCCAATGGCTGTCAATAAGACTGGTCACCAAAACACAAAATATGTCTTTAATGCCACTAACCTCACAAAGACCTCTTTTAATCATGTAGGCCTACTAATTTAGAAGGTCTCCACATGTAGCAGCAAACAAATCCGTATGGGAAAATTACAGAGATCCTTGGGGTAAAAAATCCGGTGAAGCAACAAACACCATCATTCTCCCTGAACAAATATTACAGTGATTTCTCAAGTTTTACCTTCAAAACATTGTCATTCACACAGACCTACTTAATATGGATTGTTTAATATATATACTCAATCATTCACATATGCACTTAAGTAAGACTTAAGTAAGTAAATAGTGCTCTGTTGGAGTTCACTGGTTATTGGAAAATACAGTGCTTGAAAAACAATTTATCCAATTTTGAAGTATCTTTTTCACTCTCACCTTTTTAAATCAGGCACTTGGTAAGAATTTTTGGATGTGCATGTTGGCTACTACCTCTTCAATGAAGGAAACACAAATCACATTAAGCTGTAGGTTTTAGTAAATGTTTACACAAAGCAGTTTTTATGTCAGATCATCAAATAAATAAAAAACACACTGTCTAATAAGTACAGAAGTCGTTGAATATGTCAAGGGTGGACTACTGTCAAGGTGTCACATTTATCAGTTGGTTTTCAGAGGACCTATTCCACATAAGTTTTAAGAACAAAAATGAACCCTTGTTTCTGTCTTGTTTGCACCTAAAACCATCTAGCTCATACACATTCACTTACTTGTACATAAACTTACACAGAAATAGGCTACAGTAGATGATGCAAGTACCTTATTTATTCAGGTTAGTCTATAAACTGTATTCTGTTAGCATCAAAGACTTTGCTAAAATGGAGACCTAGCTAAAACAAGCAATAGTAACGTAGTGTTAGTGTCAGCAATACTGACCTACAAAGGCATTATATATTACTATATAAAAATATTATAGCATAGAAATGTGTAATTTCTGTGAAAATAAATTTGCAGTAACTACAAAGCAGACCTAACCAAAATGCAGTAATGTTATCTGTCTCTCAGTATTCTTCGCTAAAGCTAAGTTATTGATTGTCCCGTTATGTACAGTATGTAAAAATATTGGGGGTGGTGATGGGGCAGTGGATAAGACACATGCCTTTGGTGTGAGACAGGGGTTCAATTCTCCACTGACACATCCACCAATGTGTCCCTGAGCAAAACACTTAATCCCTAGTTGCTCCAAAGTCGCTTTGGATAAAAGTGTTAGCGAAATGAATAAATGTAAATGAAAATATCCAAGTGACATTTGGGTAATTCAGTTGATTATTCCACATAATTAAACACGGCAGCAGCTAAAAGTCTAGAAGAAAAGCTAAACTGGTAGCTAGCTCAGCAGATCTCAGTAGCTGCTGTCCAAATCCAAGTGGATTTCATATGATTTGGTGGTTATGCTGCCTTTACTTCAAATATTTAAATGTATGAAATTGTAAATGAATGTGTGATGTTGATACTATATTACTACATATTAATAGTACTTAGAAAGAAACATAACCCCTTGATTCCTTGCTATGGACTGTGAAAATGTATCAAACTTATGTTAACTTTCAAGCTAGGTAAAATGGGGGCTAAAAAGCTGAGAACACAGTGAGGATTATCCAAAGGCAGGGTGTAGTATCTGCATTTTGTCAGGTAACGTGTGCATTCTTTAGTAATGATTTTTTTGGTGGGTTAAAAGTTTTTGTCATAGTCACTGCTTCTACATGTAAAGCATGTAACATGCTGCCTTTGTAAGGCAAGCATAAACATCTTAGTAAGTTTGACAATAACTTCTTAAGGTCCACTTACTAGCTTTTTCAGGAGCTTTCAACCACATTAGCATGTTCTTCCTTTGTGGTTGGAGTTGGAGAAAATGGCCACCTGCTGTGGAAGGGTGATGTGGTTGAAAGCACTTAAAAAAGCTAGTTAGTGGACTACTAGTGGACTACTTTTTGCAAAATTGCTGTTTCCATGATCGAGACTGAACTTCCACACCAATCTTGGTTACTTTTTTAACATGAATGTGAAGACTCTCACACCATTACAGTCCACATTGGCGTGGATAACTCTAGCCACAAGCAACTAAGCAAAATAAATGTCAGTCGTTTAAATTACACACTCAATGCCCAAGAAAAAAGTAAAGTTTTATTTATGTCAGATTACCATCAACCTTCTCCCCTAAACATAACATCAGGGGCAAAGCTGTGTGGACAGACTTAAAGTTGTGATACATTTTTAGCAGTTAAAACAAAAATCCAACAGTGAGTGTTTTTTCTGTCAGAATGAAAGCATACACATCCATCTAAATGTGTGAAATTGGTTCATGAAGTAATTTAAGAAAAAGCAGATTAACAGTAAGACAAAGATTATTACAACACCTGAGTGACAGCACATAAGTATGGTTAGTTGTAACTTATGGTTCTTTAAGATTATATGCCATCTTAATGGTAAAGTGCACTAAATCCATTCAGTCAAAAAGCAAAAAAGGCGAAGTAAACACAATGTTACAAATAAAAGAAAGCATTATTTACAGATTTACTGAGCAGGCAATTTTAAACAAACAGCAAGAGGAGGGATTTAAATGCTTCCTGGTGGTCAGTGGGGGAGAATGTAAACATGGACAAGGCATTGTGGCGTTGCAACCATGATTGGACATTCACGGATGTGGAAAAAAGGCTTGCATGCATTACAGTTATGCCACACACTTTTCTTTTTTCTCAAAACAGCACTGTTCACAAACAGCCAAATGAGACAGCTTGAAATGTGAAACAATCTTAGTACCCATGGAATAACTGGAACACATTTTAAGCCCCCTTTTGGGATTTTCACAACAGACAGTCCCATCTGAACTTTAATTTGAGATAGAAATTCATTTGAATCTGGGAAAAGCCTCTAGCAGAGATCTGAGACCAGTTACTAAATGTTTTTTAAAAGATACAAATGTGCATGCACATGTATTCCCAGATGTCCTATGTATTCTAACTCCATGTAAAATATGTAGAATTGTAACTGAATTGTAGGAAATTAAATAGAATACTTTTCCACATCGTCACATATTTCTTTGTGCTTGGTAAACCGGCATCTTTCAGATAATCAGTTCAAGAATTTCTTTTTAAAAAGGCTTGATGCAGACAAGGCAATACGATACAGTTCAGAGATAGCTGTATTGAGGACTGAACATTAGTTTGGGAGATCTTTTTTGGAGTACCCTCACGTAGTGAGGGGAAATGTTCTTGCATATTCAGTCACACACAAGCAAAACATCCAGTCCTGGTGGTGGTCAGCTTTCAGTACCTTCAGAGAGCAAGGGTTTACGTTCTACTCATGACTACATACTATATAATGGTATTTACTGAATAGAAATTGATAGATACTACAGAAACCAGACAAAAAAATAAAAACTAAACTCGTGTACCATGTTTAGTGTTTGAAATGTTAGAAATAGTGAACTCTGAACACATAGGTAACAAAACTTATTTACTGAGGCTAACCAATGAGTTACCCAAAGCTGTACCATGTAAAATGTAAACAACTGCCATCAAAAACATAGTGCTCTAACTGAGTGTGACTTGAGATACTATGACTCAAAGAGCAGAGTATCATTAATTCAGGTCTTGTTCTACATCTCAAAGGCCTAGACTTTGTGAAAGTCTCAGAATTTGGTTAATAAACCTGAAAGTGTAGTGTAAGCAGACGACAGATGACTATTTAGTGTCAATAGTAATTGATATTTGGTTATACATAGAAGCACATTGTATTCATTTCATGTTACATCCACATTGCTGCAGTATTCATGTTTAACTACAGCTCAGAAAGAGGAGATTTGGCACTGTGTCAACACTTCAGTGAAAATATCACTCAACACTGTTTTTCTGATTCGTACAAAAATACTCAGAAATAACTGTGGCTCCGACAGGGTTTCGTTCAAGATAAACAGTATAGTTTGAACTATATTCTGTTGACAGTTTGAAAAATATGGTACCAAATAATCTGTGTCTCTTCTACAATACATGCAAACATATTGCACAGTTGAAATGTCAAACCGTCTTTTGTTTTTTTCATTAAAGTCATGACACAACAACATACAGAAGCTATAGCTGCAGCTGTTGTTTAAGGCAACCACAAGAAGAGGTTGACAGGTTTTGTGCGCAGATCATTGATGGAAATGCAAGGCTTAATCAAAAGAAAGTCAATCATCAATGCGGGGAAAGAATTTAGGATTCAGATTAAACATCAGGTTATTAAAGTAGTATATAGTAGTATTTCCCATTCTCTAAATGTGGCTACCTCCACAGAATAAAACAATGACCAATCTAGTTTGAGAATCAATAATCAGTCACTAAAATTAGATGATTTTATCTAGAGTAGGCTGCAGCTTCCAAAAGGATTTTTACTCTTCTTGGTCCTTTGTTTGTTAGGTCGCAAAGTGATGACTTCTCTGCCGTTGCTGGAGCTCTGGTTGCAGACATTACTACTTGTGGTATTAAAAACACCTTCGGAAAAAGACAATTTTTGAGTGATGCCACCCTATTAAAGACAAAAACTTAAAATGTAACATGTACAGAAAGACTCCTTACCTATTTTATTGCTTGTTGTATGGACCACCTCTGTCTCCTCTGCCGTTTGCTGTTTGAGTCGCTGAAGATACTTCTCAGCCAAGTACTTAAAAACTAAAAAGACAGAAGCGGCAGAAATGTTATGACAGGAACACCCAGAACGAGACTGTTTCTCTTGCATTACACGAGTTGTCCACATTTCCAGTTACCGACCCTCGTTGACATTAAGATCCTCTTTCACTGAAGCTCGATAAAATCTCAGCTTAAGCCTTTTAGCCAAAGCTTCTGCCTCCTCGCTGCAACGCAAGAAAATACAATATTTCTTAGTTCATGATAAGTTATCCTTCTTTAATTAATCCGTATATTACCATCTGTCCTTACTTTACTGTAACTTACTTTTTTATAACCGTCTCTTCCAGCAGGTCAATTTTGTTCTGCACTAAAACTGTGGGAATATCTCCGACCTCTGCCTCCACCTTCTCCCTCCAGCTGTCAATAGCCTGAAATGACTCCCTGTCTGTGGTAGAGAAGACTAGCACACATGCCTGGGCACCTGGGACGCAAGACAACACACAGACAGTTCATGTTAAAGATGTTCATTCTTTAAAAAATAAATAAATAAAAAGGACTTAATCTATTCAGATATAAATATGATACAAAATTGATCCTCCTCCAGGATGTAAAAACACTGTGTCAACTTCTTACTGGACAATCACAGTGCATGTGCTTTGGTTGAATGCCACGCTGCCATTCAACAACAAAAACAAACGTGACGAATACAATCTTGACCTCAGGCCTCAGGGAGGACAGTGACTCAAAGCAGCCGTGTTATATTAGTGGCGGGGTCTTACCACGGTAGTAGGCCTTGGTAATGGCATCAAACTCCTCCTGCCCAGCGGTGTCCCACAGCATTAGTCGGACCTCTTCGTCATTTACACTGTAACAATTAGGAGGGGAAATGATCTAATCAGCAGCACAGCACATCACACTAGTTTTTCTGTTGTATTCTCGTAAAACAAAACTTTTTCTCTCACGGTTTCCTAAGTAAATTAACTTGCTTATAAAATAAGTAGTTTTTGCAAACAATTCACAATGTAGTACTTTGATATTTCACTGTGTTTTGATGAATTAATAAAAATACTTTAATATACAATATACACATTTGTTACACCAAAATAGGTTTTCCTGGTCACTCCTAAAGGATACAATATTCACTGATTATGCACCTTCTGGGATCTTCATTACTGTATATAAAAAGTCTTTACTGGCAGATGCGGTCTGTCAACTTTGCAATAAGTTGAGAAGAAAATTGTCACACCGTATGACTAAACTGTGGTTCCTGGGAGTTTGGTATTGGCTTAATTGCTAAGAGGAATAAGATTGTCTGTGAAAAGTTGCTTACAGTATCTGCCTTTCCAGGAAATCCACTCCAATGGTCTTTTTGTAGTCCCGAGTGAAGATGCCCTTGCAGTAACGCTGGATCATACTGGACTTGCCGACAGCACCGTTGCCAACCACGACCACCTTGATGGCCACCTCCATGTCCTCCTCCAACATGGTGGCGACGTCTGGCTGGTTTTCTCAGTTCCACTCAGCCTGGGTAGTTTCAGTGATGTGACACCAACACATATACCACCTGATAGTGTACAACAAACAAAACATTGATGTGTGACACATTTAAATACTATATGTAAAACACATCCAGCAGAAACAGCAATATGTAGTAAATCAAATATGCACAACTTCATGTTTGTTACTGTGTAAAGGTTGGTGATACAGATGTAAAGCTCGGTTTCAACTCTCTGACCTCTATTGGCGATAAAATATTTAACGTTACTTTAACTTTCAGTTCATACACAGAATACTTAAGCAGTAGCTGTGGCTACTATAAATGCTACGCTTGTATTGCCCTGTAAAATCTCTTTCCTCAATCAATTAGCCTAACATGGATTTCTTCTTGCTTTTATGAGAGAAACTGTTTTCTTGCATCTAGATGCTTTAACTTTTTTTAGACACCAAAATGAACAAATCTGAGACAGCAAACTGATTAAACCATGGATGAGATCTGTGCATCCACAAAACCTCTGCCTACAAAATATAAAAAATGCTAAACTATGACTTTTATAAAATGACACATTAACACACCAATAAGTGAAATCTGGTAATAACAACCTATTTCTGATGCAGTACAATCACACATAAAGATACAAGTACCTTTGTATTACAAGCTACTAGGACTGCAACATATGTTGAGTTTTTTATTGAGTCATCTTATTTTTCAATAAATTTTAATTTAATTTTTCTCAATTTTTTTATAGCTTGTCTAATTTGAAATTCAATTATTTTCAGCAATACAGGTTCCTCACGAGAATTAAATTGGGCAAGGAGTTCACTAGTAAAGGGCTTTAAATACACACTGACTGGAATTTACTGGAACTGTTTATGTAGTTTGAAGCGACTGTGCAATGTGTTTATTCTTCCATTAGCACTGAGAGCAGCAGAGTCCACATAGCAACTGGGTCATCCACAGTTATGTGTGTGTGTAGCTGCTGAGTGCAACGCTAAACAACATATTGAGGGAAAGCTGTTCCCAGCGGAGACAGACAACCTGCTGTGCAACTGTGGTGTCCAACCGCCTGTCTGGATTTGAGTCACAATATGTATTGCAGTACAAAATATTATTCATCAGCTACGATTGAGGCTGCATGACGCAGCAGTTGTTTTAACGCGCAGGCAAAACATGCCTTAAAATAAACAGCCAGCTCTTTATCTGTACATACTTTAATATGAAGTTTTCAATTAGTTTGCAGCACCTCTGCAATTGCTTAGTCTAAGTCATGTAAAGCAAGCAAGGTTACACATTTGCAGTTCTCTCATATAACTTATTGTAATAACTTCTAAATGTGTTGTTTTAGGGTCACAGACACTGAGTGAAAGTGGGGGGTTATAAAGCTGGCTACCTGCTGATATTTATATTTGGAGAAGAGTTGACCACTAGTTTTAGAAAGTCCGCTAGCACACACAACAACTGAAACTTTTCTTACAAATATTGTGCTGTTAACATCAGTAAAAGGGTTGTGCAATGAATTAATAATAATCATTTATTGTCAATCACTGTAATCTTGTGGTAAAATCTAACAATACAAGGTCACTTAGGGACTTATCCCACAATAATTTCTAAAATACCAATGACACTTCCACTTCGACTCCACATTACCAACTCCAGAATAATAAACACCAGTTAAGACATTTAAAAAAGTACTTTTCCATACCTGCACTAGCCTATCTATATTGTGGGTTTTCTGGTTATGTTTTTCTACCTACAATGAGATCATTGCCCTATTCATACTATACATATTTTAAAGACATGAGACAGGATCTGAAATATACACCTATCCACATAACATGGTAGCAAGGTATCATGCATTACAATACACAGGTGCAAAATTAACGTTTTTGTCCACCTGTCAAATGGTTAGTGAATGTTCAAAGTGTACCGGCCACTTTTTAGATAACTATTTTGTTTTGGCTGGTGAGTGAAGGAAATCTACCAGGCATTTTGCATATTTCACCAGCATCTGGCTGGTATTTCACCAGCATCTTACTTTGTGTAGTATGTAGACGATAAAACTCCTGGTCATGTTTACAGACTCAATGTTAATTTACCCAGGCCTCAAGACGGGACACGGTTAGAGGCACAGGGAAGACAAAAATGTTACAAAACCATGACATGTAACTACTCCTTTCTGTTGAGGTGTACTATTGCTGTAGGTAATTCTGTGAGGGGATGAAATATTTAAGTTAGTCAAGCTGTCATTCTGCTGTATTCCCTCAAATCAGACTCCCTTGCTTTGGTCAAGGTACGACCTGTTGAACATCTCTGGGGTCTTGAGACACCAGGCAGTTGCTGGTCCACTCCCTGACTAAGGGAAACTGCTGGAAGGACGAAAACCTAGCAAAACCGTCAAGTGGGCAGTTTCTTACCTGTTAAATCGCGTTTCAATCATCCAGTGTCCGCCAACATTAGATGAGCTAAGTTAACCAGCCAGCTGACCTTAACCCACAATCACATCCCTAACGTTACCGCCTCCCTCCGCTCTTCTATGTGGCAAGAGTCGCTAGTGACTCCGCTGCTAAGATGACCTAGCTAAGCTTAGCCCCTCTTCACAGAGAAAAAATGTTTCTGCTCCGCCCGTTAACAATATCCAGCTAGTGACAGTACAGGCCCGAGGTTCTCCGCTTCAAAACGGCAGATAAAGTTTAATTAACGTCGACAACTGAGTAAAATTTGTGATATTTGCGGGATGAAAAGGCACTGCTATCTATCAGCTAACTACGTCGCGCACGAGAGCAGCTAACCAGGCTGCTGGCTAGTTCGCAAGTGTTTGTTGCTAGGCAGCAGAGGCAAAGAGTACATCACGATTGCAAGAGAGTTAACTGACAAACTATTCCGTCTCGGACTTTTCCTTCCTCCTCTTCTTCTTCTTCATCTCTGTGTTTATTGGCGGATCGCAACCAACTTTAAAGGTGCATCCGCCACCTACCGTATGTGTAGATTTACGGCATTATCATATCTGAATTCTACTTTTTTAAAAGTTATATAAATAATAATAATATTACACCATATGTCCTAACGCTGTCTATAGGCCTATTATAAAATCTATCAACCTCTTTCTGATTTGCCTGAAGTCCTGTGTTGAGCTCAATATTGATTTTAAACTCAATTCCTGCCCTATCTAAAACCTCCCTTTCTGAATTACATTTCTTACATTGCATAATAATGGGCTCAACATCTTCTAAATTGTTACAATTATCTGTTTGCCCTTTCCCCATTAAACATAATATAGAGTTTATCCCTGTATGCCCAAACCTTAATCTTGTAATGATGATTTGCGGTTACGATATTTTCCGCTAAACTGTTTAAAATTAACTGACTTCTGTATGTTGTGATAATGTATGCCTTTATTATCTGTATCTAATTCGTTCTGACAAGTGTTCTCCACCATAGCCACTTTAATTACTTTAGTGTCATCTTCTTTAAGAGCCTTCTTTGCCAACTTATCTGCTTGTTCATTTCCTTTTACACCCACATTAGCAGGGTTCCAACAAAACTGCACTTCTATAACCATCTTTTGTATTCTTAATAGCATAATATGCATTTCTGTCATTAGATCTCCAACAGATTGCCTTGATGACAAACCTCTGAGAGCTGCTGCTGAATAGGAGAAGATTACTGTTTTTAATGGCTATACATGCACCACTGAAGACCAAAAAATATTGTAATTATTTCTGCATAAAATATTATAATTTATCAGTCAATCTATGATACATTTTGACATTAAACTCTGGAATGTAAATTCCAGGTCCTATGTGTCTATCATTAGGATTTCCTTCCTTTTCCTTCTTCCTCTTCTTCTTGATGTTGTTTGGCAATTGGTAAACAGTGAAATAGCTCATTACCATCACCAATAAAATAGATAACATAGAATAACATTCATATCCAGAACTACTATGCAAAATACGACATAGGGTTAAATAAAAGCTTAATTGGTCTCTCTGAGGCTCTGAATCAGGCCTTGTCTTTTACCTTCATTTACTCATTATATGTTCTAAAGGACCATATCCTGGCCTTGCATGTACATTCAAGGAGAGGAGAGGAACGGAAAGAAAGGAAAACAATAAAACAATATCACAGCTGTGACATACCCTACATATGTGGACAGACTAATATAATGACTATAATAACAGGAAAAGGTTAAGGATAAAGAGCATATATATATATATATATATATAATACAATACAATAATAGTAATAGTACAAGTATGTATAAGAGATTAAATGTAAGGAGTAACAATTTTCTGCTATTAAAGCTATTTCCTATAGGTTTTTCCACTTTAAACAATATGCTGTACTACCAAAACCTTAATATGAAGATTGTTGTTTCCTTTTTCCTGCTTCCTTCAATGGGCCTACTTCTCATTTAAGTTTACTTTGACTTTTTTGAATCACTGCCACCCTGTCCTCTCTTCTTCCTTCTGCCACCATCCCTTTAATCACACTCAAACAAAAACATACTTTAAACTTCTTTTTTAAATGTATTTATTTATTTATAAAACTTAAAGCTCTAGGGCTACTCTTTGTATCTTATGAGCTCATCATGTTTTTAATATTTAAAATAAATGTTCATGTGAAAGGTAACTAGAAAGTATTGATTTCTAATAAGGAAAAAGTACAATAACTCCCTCTGAAATGTATGGAGTAGAATTATACAATTTGCATTGTATAGTCTAGTATAGAGTAGAAAAATGGAACTACTGTTATATCCTTGACAGCTCCTTGCTGCAGAGTTGTTTGAGTGTTATGAATAGGGCCTAGGTAGCCTAATAGTTATTGTTCTCGTAGGTCCACGCTCAATATTTTTCATTAACTTTGATTAATCATTACAGAAAGCTTCTCTATAAATAAATATACGGGTAGCTAAACGTGCTACATATTAATGTATTTTAAAAAACCGTTTTTCAGTCTATGTGTAACCTTTTTATATGCAGTCTAATGGTAACCCTACATGTTCTGGTGCGTTTGTTACGTAGTACAATTGCCCCCGTAAGTCCCTGTTGCACCCGGCGAAACGAAAAATTCATAAAAACGACACAATGTATAAAATCATGGTTTATTTTGAATCGGGGCTTCTGCGGCTACACGGCTGGTGAATATGTATAACACAAAAGTGGGAAGTCTTTTCTTATCATATCTGTTCACAGAGGTCATCGTCAGCGGGAGAGATATGGCGGCCCGGGCGGAACAACTAAACGAGCGCCCACCAGTCTACGACAGGGTTTCTCTTCCTGAGTTGGCTGAACTCGTCATCGTTTACCCGCGTTTGGTGGACAGCCCACTTTGTTTGGCGGGACTGAGCTGAGGACAAGCTGTTCCGTCGTCTCATCGGTAATGTAACGACAATACAATAATTTAAATGTTGCCCCAGTACTTGTCGTATGTCTTGTGAGGCGTCGTTGACATTGTTTAAGGTAGTTTACTGTATGTTAACTAGCTTCTTTCACCACGAAGAAGAGTATGTTTGTGTTGTTATTTAACGTAAAGTTAATTGGTGCTGTGGTTCTTGATAACATAAGCGAAATGGTCTCTTTTACAGGCAGAATTAATGTTGTTCTCTGTCAGGGGTAACGTTAACTTACAGTTGGTTTAATGGAGAAAGAGCTAACGTTAACATATGCAACGTTACCACGTATTGGAGAAGGGTTGCTGGACCCAGTGTAACACAACACATCGCTAGCTAGTACCAACAGGTCAGTTCAGTTGTCTTTGTAGTGGGCTCACAGTTGCCAGGTTTTGTATCCTTGCTAGAGTCAACTTCATAATGAACCATATGAGTTTAGTGAAGGCAGCTTTTTAGCCAAGTCACTGCAGATTAAAACACATGTTGATAGAGAGAACATAGATGAATAGTTTCTTGGAGATGCCGTAACGTTATCTGCTGCACAAGTTAAGTTGTACAGGGTGCCACTTCTGCACAGTCTGAATGGCACAAAGTTAACTTAGTTACAGAGGTTATTGTTAATGAGGGTCGCAGCGTCTTATGACTTGTCAGACCAAATAGGGTCAATGCATGGCTAATTGTTGACATTGGTACCTTTTATGTATTAAGTCTGTTATACACTCCCCCAAATGACAGGATGGCTGAAACTGTTACAAACATATAAAGTATGGTACAGAAGAGAGACGATTTGTGTACCTTTTATTAACTTGTATTGAAGCTCACAATGGTCTGTACCTCACTGTGTTTGCATTCTCTAAATGAAAAATTGTAGTTGCATATACATGAGTGCTAACGGTTTATTATCTGGTGATACATTATTGTACATTATTAAAAACATGTTCTTTTCCCTCACCATCAGTTACCATGCAGTTTTCCAGCAGAAGAAAGAAGGACATTACCAGCCCTCAGGCGGAGCTGTATGGACATGCTCTGCAGTTCTATGGGCAGCCTCCTCTCGAAAACGTCTCTCTCACTGAATTTGAGGCATTCGCTGTGGACAGACTGAAATGTAAGGCTCATGCCAGTCAAAAATTAAATCGCGATGTTTTCTCTGCTGTTGTAAAAATCCATTTTTAACGTGTATTGTTGTTGACATAATGTCTTCTTTGATTACCACTGCAGTGTTGAAGACCATTGAGAATTTGGGAGTGAGCCACGTGAAACTTTCAGAGCAGTACACAAGGAAACTGGTGTCTGAGTTTAAAAACCTGAACTTCCCTTACAGACCAGAGGTTGTGAGTATGAATAGCACGACTTACATCAAAATAAGTCATCATCATGATCACACCGCACTGATCCATCGTATATATGTATGTAGTTAGTGCTCTCTACTGAGCTCCATTGTGCTTGTGGTTGCCTTAAATTATACTTGGTTGCAAATTTATTAGGTACACCTAGCTAAAAATAATGCAGGGCTGATAAACGGGCAATCTCGTATCGATGCACTTTAGTTTGGAGGTTTACTGGGGGTCAGAATTTAAATCCTGGTTGGATTTTAGTTTGTTACTCAGGACTATCTAAAGTAATCACTTTTATGTGCTGTTTCTTTGAACAGCAGTTTTGCCCTCACATTCAAATATTACACAGCATCAGTTTACTCTCAGCTCAGAACAAAAACCTCTGCATGTCTCTCTTTTATATAACACTGTGACTCTGTGTGCACAAGACAGCTCAGTTTGTTCCACACTTCCGCCACTAAAATGTTTATTGGACATAACCTGTAATCTCAGTTTAAATTGTAAATATCAGTATGAACCTTAAGACACGTAGGATCAATGAATTATTGTCTCTTTCACTCACAATGTAATTGGTCGCACTGATGGAACATAAGTCTTTTAATAAGTACATTTTTTTCTGAGTGAGCAGGATCCTGGTGCAGGTGCACAATATAGTTTGAGAGGGAGTTTAAAAAAAAAAATAAAAAATAGGTTAGCTATTCAGCTAACTATATATAGGTAGCTGAATTACCATAGCCTAAATGATGGAGGATGGTGTACAGGTACTGTAAATATGACTGTAACCCTTAACCCTTATTTAACCAGGTAAGACCCGTTGAAATCAGCAACCTCTTTTACAAAGGAGACCTGGCCGAGACAGCAGCATAAAAAGGTCACAAACAGATATACATAAACGTGTCTACTGTAGTTAAAAAGTACACAGTACACTCTTTTATGTGTGTATATATAGTCACAAAACTGCTTTTAAAAATTTGGCATTTTAATTTAAAAAATTTTTAAAAATATACCCAACAAGACAACAGAAGTAATGAAGAAATAATGATTTTAAATGAAATTGAATTTGTCATTAAAATACTGGATCTCCTTTACCCATTAAGGATGACAGAAAATCT